AGAAAAATTTGTCTTCCCGTGCTTTAGTACGTGTGTGTTTTAGTTTTTGCGTGAGGCAATTTATAATTTGCATAAAATGACCTCTTTATGACAATTTTTTGCAAGAAATTATTTATGAAAATTCACATTGGTACATTATTATTCGCGTTAAACTGGACAACAATAAGCATGGTGGTCACCTCAATACGAGAAATGGGCGATGAGAAAGCTGAGGATAAAGTATCAAGCATATTTTTAATTTACTTCTTTTTCGATCAATTTTATTTACTTGGCTCTACTGAAAAATTGAAACTTCCAAGATGCGCCATCGCTCTAGCTATTATTGTCGGGCTACACCATCGAGAGACATATAATTCGATTTACTGGGAAAATATCTTGTGACTATAGAAGCCTTTTTTCATGATTGACCTCTTGTTTAGATTATATATTATAAAAACGTTAGGATATTGTGGAGGAGGGAGGTAAATTAAGAAATTCCATTAAGAAATTTGAGAGAAGGGCTTCTAGAGTCGCTAAATATTTGAATTACAAATCGAGTGACACGTCTCTCGGTCTTGTAGCTCGTAGATCAAATAATACAATATATTTATAAAAGTCCCCCTTTTCCTCGTTTTCTATTCATTTCACGTTTCCTTTCATTTCCTCAGAAAATTCTTGTATTAGTGTTTTACACATGTGTATGAAGTCCAAGAAAAATCTGTCAGTAGATACAGAGTGTATCAGTTAGATACAGAAGCTGCCCTCAATTAAGGAGATTATAAAGTTTGTCAATAAAGAACGGTCTGAGATGTCCTATCTCCTATGGCCTCCACGTGGTTTTAGGTAAGCTCCATTAAAATGGTCCGCGTAAAGGACCTTTACAGAGGAAAGATTATTTCAAAAATTTTCCTCGATTGCAATTCAGTAACTTTGACCCACTCCTGATGTCCGACAGTTGATCTGGAAAAATCTCTATGCTTCCGCCGCGCAAACTCAGCTTATACAAGTTATTTATTGTAGCGTAAGAATAGCAGGTAATTATTGAGTGATTATGATCCACTAACGGGAGCAAGGAAGGTTGCAGTATGGAAGGTTTAAAATGCTTTACATGAATTCAGTGAATCAGGGCATCGTTTTATTGTAAAGGTTACAATGTTACATTTAACATTTATTCCAGAGACTATATTATGATACCATAATGACTGTGATTGACTTACTAAGAATAACGTTGATGAAAGTTACATTTTAATTAGTTATATTTCATCCTTATTTAATTCGTGTATCATTCTTTGCTTATTTGATTGGGTCGCGGTATGTCAGATGATAACTAGCGAATTATAGCCTTGACTGTTCATTTGTTCGTTATGTTCACTCCTCATTCAGTGGGATGGCGAATATCATTCATCTAACTCGGTGGTTCCCAAAGTGGGAGATATCGCCCCCCTGGGGGCGGTGGAAAGATCTGGGGGGGGGGCGGTGAGGAATAAAGGGGCAATAGGGGGGCGGCAGTCCGCGAAGTCGAAGTTCGTACGTTTGTTCGACGATTTGTACACAACACATGCAGCACATGATTCCGACTCGAATAAATTTTCACGAGCTAAAAATCACCGATTATTAACGGTGATAGGAATTATTACTAAGAATTTATATTCAAAATTTCATTCCAATCTGTTCAGTAGTTTGGAAGACATTCTTTGATCACTGCGAATTTCGGCCGGTATCTCCATATAACTCCCGAATGAAGGTGAAATTTAAACATTTTTCACGAGCTAAACATCACTGTTAGAGTGAATACGTGTTCCAAGTTTTATCGAGCTGCGTTCATTAGTTTGGGAAATATTCTTGGTCACTGAATTTGGAGATTGGCCGTGAGACCGGCCACGAGTCCGGCCCTAAATTTGCCCGAGCCGTCTTGAATTTCTAGTGCTGAAACAGTTAAACTGTAAAAAAATATATTTGTTTACTAAATGGGGTTCAATTTGTGAAGCGTACTAAATATCAGAAATAAATATTTGTGAAGCGTACTAAATATCAGAAAAGAGGCGTTTGTTTTTATAAGTGTCTGTTGGGGAGAGGGGCGCTAGAGATTCACTGGGGAGTCAAAGGGGGCACCAGCCTGAAAAAAGTTTGGGAACCACTGATTATTCTAACTCGTGAATAAATTTGATGCAAAACATTTGGCAGGAATGGCATGCTTGGAGATCTCAACACAAGTAGAATGTCACACAGTCCGCTCTTTGTCTGACGCCTGTAAGCCTATAGACCCCCGGGGGCTCAGTTGCAGTCTACGCTCGCTGTCGTCAGGTGAGCATCGTTAGGCTGAGCACTCAGACGTGAAGCGCACGTGTTGGGTGTCCACGTGGCGTGACGTAAAGAGGCCTTGAGATTTGTATATTTAACGCGTGTTTAAAGGCATTAAATTTGAAACTGTATTTAGTGGAAAATATAAAGTAGTTACGTGACGGTGAACAGAGCAATCTTCTACTGAGAAGAGTTATAGAACGTTAGTTAGTGAAGTGTTATTTCATTAAATCTCATCATATTCTAACTCCTATTGGTCTATAGTTTGACGCTGCTACTTCAAAAGATTTATTTGATTGGAACGCTTCTCTGATACTTAGCGACAAGACTTTTCTACATACGCTGTTTGTAACTTTATTTTAGTTCTATTGACTTTGTACAATCGCCAAATAACTTTTTTTCTCTGATAAATAATGGTCATAGATCAGCAAAAATTTTGATCAAGTATTTCGTGAACAGTAAATGACATCGAAATTAACTCAATAATACTTGAAAGTTGCAGGAAAACCATACGAAATCGTGATTTAGGTAAATCACTATTTAGTGTTGCCATTATTTTCGTTGGTCTAATTCCAGGTAAATACAAACTAGAATTGAAAAGCCAACGATGTACGGGTCTACTGTACCGAAATCTTTAGTCCAGGTCTATAACCACATTCCAGGATATCTTGTGGGGTAAGTGCCTGTCATTACCCACACAGTTATACCAACAGGATGGTAAATGAAAGAGACTGGAACTGAGATATTTTAATGCAGTAAAAATGAATAACAAGGTGGGCTTTGAATATAAATATTACGATATGGAAAAATAGTGTAAAGAAAAATACCCTTGGCAACGTGCGTATCTGTTGAAGAACAAATCTAATAAATGATCCTCGTTGAAGATGAATAAAGAAATTATAATATAATACAACAATTATTCAGACAATAAAAAGGAACCTATTAGAGCTTAAACTAACCTGCAGCGGGGATCAGCCGAACGATAATGTCTAACGAGAAAAGTGTGTGCGCGACGTTAGCTTCCTAACGATGTTGCCAAGGTAGAAGTAAATTTATAATTTTCTTACAAATAAAAGTCGCAAAATGTCTAACACCACAGTAGTACCCCGCCAAAAGTCGGAGACATAATGATCAATAATATATAAAATCGGCTTTAGGGCGGAAATTGACTCGACGACCTGAGCGAGTTGTTCGCTGTGGTGTGACAGCTGAAATGGTCCCTGGAGCGGTCTGCTCCGGGTTTTCTGGTTCAGAAACTGCATCGGTCACTGGCGGGTAGTAGGCTGATTTTTGCTCCGTTTGCTTCGGCAGGTCAATTGAAGAGTTTTGTTTAGCTTTGAATCTTGAGGTGCATGACCATACGCTGGTTTGAGTCGGTCAATGGATACCGTTTGTTCAAGGGTGTATGGTGCTTCGAGGTGCTTCGAGGTCCGGTGTATGGTGCTTCGAGGGGCTTCCTTACTCGATCAATGCGCAGCCACACGTGTGTGCAGGTTTGCAGATCTTTGGGGATGTATAATTTTGTAGAGTTGTGACAACCTTCAGATAAACACTAAAAATCGATTGATCTCATTATTTCTCGGAGTTTGGTTGTCGTTTCTTTGGAGCAATCCTCGTTGGTGTTAGCCCCCTGTAACTGCGGTAAAAGGAGAGAATCCAGATTCATAATTGTTGTTTCAGGGAACTGTTTACCGAAAATTCCTGGCATTTTTTGTCCAAATTACTATTCACACCACCTTCTGCATCACAATCCATCAATAAACTTGTGTTAATTCCCTATTCTGACATCCTCAGGTCTCGATCGACTTATGGAATAAATTTGCCATCATTTCCATCATCGTTGCTCACATCTCATCATCGCCCCATTTAACAATGCCCCGTCACAAATTTCCGGCCGTCGGCTCGCAGGACTTTGAAGATTCATCTCCTGAAGGCGCGGCCTCAGTTTCAATGAATTTTAGAAGTGGTCAGTTTTATGTTTTTAGGTTGCAGAATGAATTCGGTGAATACAGAGCAAGTTCAGAATTTAATTTTGGTCGAATAAATGTTCAAATTGCCAGACTCACCAAAATCTTCAATTTTCAGTTACACTGAAGTTATCTGATTTTCGCAGCCGCTACACGCAACATCGTCCAGCCAACGGAGGCACCCGAGGGCAACGGCGTCGCCAGAAAAAGAAGGCCAAACCTCCGGCCAGAGGCCAAGGCCGTCCTGACGGCGTGGCTGACGGAGCATCGCCACCATCCGTACCCCACGGAGGAGGAGAAAGATGCCCTTGTTTGCGAGGCAGGGGTGACTCTTGCGCAGGTATTGAATTAGGTTGCTCTGTCTTATTACGTAAATAGTGATGAATGAAGTCTTAGTGTAATAAAGTACTCTCATCGTGTCGTGCATAGAAGAGGGCAGCGCCTGGAAGGAAGCTCAGGCAATATGGTCCAACTGCCTCCACCTCCCAAAGACACGAGCTACTTACTCCTGCTGGCGGACTTGACCATAGGTGACTTGTGGTGTCGAGAATTTACAGGGGTTGTGAAACATCCTTTGAGGGCTTGATGGTTCAATTTGGTGATCCTTTCCTCGTATCTTTTCCTTCATAAATTTATACAATATGGGTGGCTCATAAATTATGACGCTGCCGGCTGCGTCTATTTAGAACTTATTTGTTGCCAGACTCTTTCTAGATCACCAAATTTTAAATAATTATTTTCCCGGCAGTCATCAACTCAAGTTTCCACAATGTATCATAATTTTGTATATATTCTTTCATTAGGCTGTTGCAGTCGAAATTGTACTCTGATCAAAAACTATTTAATGATCGACAATCAAAATGGAACTAACTAGAAGTAATATACAGTCATGCAGCTTAAGAGCACAAAGGTTCCGATATAGATGGCAATGGATAAGAATATTCTGATCCATGAGCATCTTTTTTTTCTAAACGTGTGATCAAATAGATTGTCGAGTTTGGATGGGCCATTATGTGATTTACTCCGGTCTGAGATGGTAAATGACTAAATTTTTTCTATTTAAACTTAAAAAAATGCAAGAGATAAAAGTTAAATCGTGGCATGTTTTTGTTTCTGCGAACAACAGAATCAGCTGATAGAAATAGAAGTCACCTTAGAAAATTCTAATATATTTCATCATTTGATCTGAATGAATCTCTATTAAAACAATTTTCTCGTTGCAGGTTTGCAATTGGTTCATTAACGCTCGTCGCCGCCAATTGCCCGGAATGTTGCAGCAAGAAGGCTGCTCTCCAGAGAATTATACCATAACTCGCATGGGTAACCCCAAGTCCAAGCAATCCCCTCCTGGGACTGGTGACTTTCAACCGTGTTGGCCCATCGCGAGCCCAAAATCTGAATCTTGATCCGATTCCGCAGGTTTCAACGACGAACGTTGGTCAGTTTGAACAAGGTCGTCGACTAGCAACAACTAGGAATGGTTCGAGAGAGGACGAAAATCGTCCCAGTATTCCAAGTTACTCATATCAATCGTCTCAATGGAAAAGCGAGCAAACATTCGATCCAGCGGACCGTGTTCCTGCTTGGGTTGAAGAACAGAGGCAGCTTAGCCGTACTTTGCCGCTGTCGTTGCAATACAGCGAGCTTTACATCGCGGACATGCCTGGAATGAACACATATTCGACATGTTACTCGGGTGGCCCATCTCAATGCCTATCGCCGTCAGCGCCGTTCATTGCTAGAGATGCAGCAATTTTGTGTACACCAGACCCGTCTCCGCAGTTCCAAAGGGAAGAAATGTATATCTCCCGCATTCTGATCTAGTTGATTCGTATGGATATCTCCCTGCAGGTCCCTACGGAATGGTCAGAACTAAAAATGGCACTACACCACCGCCTACCCCACCAAATGTTAAACTTTAGTAAAATTTCGCAATCGCCCACCGCACTTCATAAGTAGAACTTTATTTGCTACAGACCAGAAAAATCTGCACAATACAATTTCGACGGCTGTCACCACGGGATGGACTTATCACTTGCGTACTGAAAATGGGCCCATCATTCCTAATGGCATTCATGGATATCCTGTCGTCGAAAATAATCAAGATGGTTTCCAAATCAACGATAATTGTGCAAATATCACCAATCAATCGTTCCAGGCTATGGATGATTCGTCAAGTCCCGACCAGTTAGAGGACCGAGCCATGACAGGGACTACAATGGATATTGACCTGCAATCCTCACCTACACATGACTACAACAGTCTTCAATTACTGGTGGACACGGCCTTGGGTAATTGCAACGAGCCTTTGAAGCACAAACAGTTTATTGATGCTACAGGTTTCCCAGTGTCGGCACTGCATGGCAGTAATGATGGTAATTGGCTCATAATTGTCCTTTCCAGCGTTTATTTAAGGCTGCAATCCTCAGTAGATTTTCCTCACACAAGTTCTGCAGAGATTCTGCATGTACAGTCCCTAAAGTGCTAAAATCCTGACGTTTTAGTGCTGAAATCATGATGAGTCCCATAATTAATTGGAGAAGTGAGAATTTTGTGAACACCTACATCAACTGAATTAAAGGAACTATTAACAAACACTCCTTTAGCTCACCTTCGAAATCTACGTTACGGAATGGTCGGCCGAACACAGAGGCGAAAAACCAAGTCCATGTTTAAATTTTGGTTTACGAAAAGTCTTCCGCACACCAAGCAGCGAGGTATGAATTGATCTGTCGGTGCGCACATTTGGATCACCCTGCGGCTAGCGAGATCGAAGTTGCGACGTCATTGGCTAAATTCAAATGCAAGAAGAAAGTTGCATTCGTGTAGTTTAATTACGATTGCACAGCTATTTCTCATAGAAGCAAGTCTATGAAATTCTGATATTATATCAGACATAAGTAGTATCGCACGTTTATGAACTGAATGTTCACGTTTTTATCGGCATGTTTATTCGAATTTATTGAATATTTCCGTTATGGAAGTTATTACAAAGTATAAATCTTTCCGACTTCCTTGCGTTTTCTCTTCATTTGAACGACTGGATTACTCGTTATTTCATTAGTCCAACATCGTTTTAAAATATTGAAGGATATCAAATCTCAATTCGGGTAGGTAGCAATACTTAAAACCGTGTTTGCTTGCACTCTTTTCTCGCAGGGGGAAAAGGAGGTTGCTGCCCCCATGCAAAAATTGAGCGATTGCTGTACGTCCAGGAGCATGATCTATCACGAGGAATCGGTTTGCGGAGAACTTTACACGTTAACCCAGCAATAAAGATAATAGTTAGCTCAAGCAACCCACGTACGGGGCCCACCCCGAGACAGGCGAGACCGAATTTCCGATCTTAAAGTTAGCGACCGACGTTCCACCCGAGGGGGCATCACTATACTAACGGGCACTTGTGTTTGTTGCAGGCAAAAGTGAAGTCGCCATTGCGAAGACTAGACGCTCGTCGAATCCAGATGCAAAGTTAATTTGAAAAATTGGGTTTGCTCAGAATTTCACGCGCTATCCAAGCACCGAATAGAAGCTACAGCTGGCGCAGGAGGCGGGCCTCAACATGAGGCAGGTAAGCCCGAAATTAAGATCACTTGTATTGCAGATATTAGTGCAAGCTAACGAATATCTTACCCATATTATATTGTCTTAGGATTACTAATCTTCAAGGAAACACGATGATTTAATAAACAGATATTTTAGACTGAAATTATTTGTAAGAATCATTGATCGGACGATATTTATCGTTCATTAACATTTCCCAATATTTTAAGAGTATACACAGGTAGAAATTTATTAAAGCTTGCTTGCTCTCCAAGGTTAACGATTGGTTAATAAACGCGAGGCGGCGGTATGTGGAACTTCACCCGATATTAGGGCCTCGTTTATCTGATTCACTGATTAAACAGTTAATAAGGGACCAGCGTATCAACAGCAATTTGGAGATGCTGGCCGCCGTCAGTGAATGTAAGTATAACCTGCGAAATGCAAGCATAATTGCGAAAAGATTTTTATCCACCTGTAATGGCCTTACGCGTTAATATTTCAAATTAAATGGCGTTAAATTTCAATGTGGAGCGCTAGTAAATAGAATTACCAATTAAGTTAAAGTAAATCGTCTTCTCTTTACTCCTCAGACGCGCAGAAGCTGTGACGGGAATGTACTGAAGCCCTTCCTCTTGGCCGGCATATCTGCGGCCAACTGCAGGCTGAAAATAAGTCACTGTAGCGGGACAACTACGCTCAATACAACATAGTAACTGGGTCTCTGCTTGCAGGCCCCCACGTACGTGGATTAATTTATATATTTATAAACGAGCCTACTAATGCCACAAACTAGGCTCAAATTTCATGGAGAACCCGCGGCCACGGCATAGGACTATAAACTAAATGCAGATAGGCTAACGAGTACAGACATTATACAGACTTAAAGTACAGACAGTAATAGACATTGCATAGTGTGGTAGAGTAAGTAAAAGTAGGCTGCATGCTCGCAATCAGCTGCTTTCCGAGTAAACTACCTGCGCATACTTTTTCTCTTCAGTCTTTGTTAGAGAGGTGCGGCGGCTGAAGAAAACTAATAGCGTTTAAAGCGCGGGTAAGGTTGGCCCGCTACACCGCCTTCGTGTATGTATTCTGAAGAAAAGTGCCATATTTTTATACTTTGTACGTGCGCGATCAAGATGTATTCGTACCTTTAATTAATCGTTAACTTATGTGTAAATATGCAATCTAAGAAACGTACAAAACTATTTAATTCTCCCTACGCCTCGCAAAGCATGAAATTCTGTTTAGATTTGGTCATGAGTTATTGAGTGATAATTGAACTCAGCGTGTCGATGCAGCGTCACAGCTAAAAGCATGTTCTTTCGATGACTGGATGAGTTTTAGAATGATTGTGAAAAAAGTATGTAGTGAAATGAAGGAATAGATAATGAATGATTTGGAGGTTGCTGGCGGAGAAATTTTCGTGGAATAAATATAAAAGATTTAACGTCGAATTTTCAGACTCCCGAAATGTTTCTCAGTTCAAATTATTTCAATGCATCACAGTACGTATCATTGGGAGTGGATTTGTTGTGATATTTCCACTCAATCCATATTCCGAAAAAAAAAAACAAAATTCGTGATGAATTAAGGAGCTGTAATCCTAAGGCTATTGTTAAGTGTTGATCACTACACAATGAGTACATGAATGCTTTATTAAAATCAGCGGTTCTTCAGCCTGAATCCAAAAATTGAAGAATTATCGCGATATAACGATCTTGCGATATGCTGAACTTTCTTCGTTCAACGTTTTAGAATGAAAATCTCTTATAGATAGAAAGATAACTTTTCTGTTTTCCGCGTCGTCAGTTGCAATGACGTTAACCACGCGCTGGTCAAATTTTTAACAGCGCTTGGTAATGAATTTAAACGCGCAACATGGAGAAAACTGATGCAAATTGCCGATCGTTGTGCAGATTCCAATATGCATCTCTTGTAAACGTCGGTGAACAACTCTATTAATTAATATCACTCCATTTGTAATGATTTATTTATGAAAAGAAGCTGTAACGTATGCTGGACACGTTTTTTTCAGTTTGCTTTTGCCATCACCGAATAAAGTTAGACACGGCTCTGCTTCATACGAAGATTCATACAAATAATGCTCTGTCCCGTATACGTAGACCCTATATCATTCGCGTCTGGCTCCGTGCCTCAAACGAAGTCTTTGTTGTTCACATACTATGTCCATGCCAAATGAAGGATGCCTTTGCGCCATGCTCGATGTCTCTTTACTGTGTCCGATTGTTATTTTCTCACTCATTTTGCCTTGGCTCCTGCGTCCTGAAAAGTCAAGTCTGCGTCACGACGCATGACGTCATCAGGCGTAACTCATCAAGCTACTATGACTGTGTCAAAGTTATGAATAACTCTGTTCTGGGTTGACAGTCATAATCTTGAATGGATCTGTCTGATCTACTAATTAGACATAGATAGACCTGAGGGGTTTTGGTTCATTTATAAATTGTCCGAATAACAGATTAAATACTCATCGGCCAGGGAAGGATAAATAACAAGTCGTGTATCTAAGCTTAAGTATTGAAGAAAGGTTCATGGGATACACTCGATAGAAGTTACAGGATCAAGCACAGTATGTGCAGTAGATTGGGAGATAGAGTTAACGACACTACATATTGGTCTGAGTGCCGGAGTCTGCATGACTGCAGCTGAAGGCTGTATGCCTAAGACTGAGACTCTGCTGGGACTGACTAACAGTGCGCTTTCTCAGCTTATATACGCGGTGACCCACGTATAGTGACGTCACAGAAGGTGACGTAATAGTCGCTGATGACATCACGGCCTGACACGTCCCCCCCCGCTGTAAGAAGCGTCCTCGCTTCATTAATATAAAGCAAAGCTAATACATGGGTCAACGCATCAGCGTCACGTGCACAAGCTTCCCAACAATGATCGGAATTGCTAACTACAACGAGACTGAACGTCGCTAAACACCAGTGCTTAAATTAGGCATTAATTAATTTGGCATTAATTTCAAACCTAATTTTTAAGAAAAAGGCTCAGTTACTAGAGTTTACATATGTCGACGGACATCATAGTAGTAACTTAATATTACATAGAAGTTCAATGCCGGTTTTCTGGCTTTATACGCTCAAAAATACAGTTTTTCGCTCGGCAAGAAGAAAATACATTTTCATTGATTTCTATTTTTAGAGAACCATGCAATAGCCTATTCTTAGATTTACTCTGAGCGGCGTTGGATTATTTCGCAAGTTATTTTTACGTTATGTTACTTTATATGTAAATGGCTATTTCAGTCATTTTATTAGATCATGATTCAGCAAGATGGCTTGCAATCGCGAAACCCAGGTACATAAGAAAGCATATGAAATTCAATTCACAATACTATGATATGCAAATTATTTTCGGTACCTTCTACTAATCAGATTAAAAAAATAACATCTTTATTTAATTATAGTTAGTGCTGAAAAGGAAATGAATCAGCACAAAATGATGAGACTTATTCGGGATAAACCCTGATTCCTCATCGTACATGATTGTAAGAGAACTAATGTTTCTATCAGTACGTTGTTAGTACAATTAATTAAATTGCTGTCTCCTCTATCGGCACTTATATTGAAGTCGTTCCCTTCCCCCCTTGCAAGATGANATTTAATTATAGTTAGTGCTGAAAAGGAAATGAATCAGCATAAAATGATGAGACTTATTCGGGATAAAACTTTGATTCCTCGTCGAATATGATTGTAAGAGAACCAATGTTTCTATCAGTACGTTGTTAGTGCAATTAATTAAATTGCTATCTCCTCTATCGGCACTCATATTGAAGTCGTTCCCTTCCCCCTTTGGAAATTGACGCTCCTGTGTCGGCACTACATGATTGTGACTTTTACAACTTACGTTGGCTAAATTGACACAACTCGGGGTCAGTGGTATATATACCAATACGTTTTCGAGAACAAGTTGAAAGGAATTACTCGTTGTTTAAACTACTGACCGAGTATGACACACAACTCATCTCTTACCGTCGGAACCAGAAGTTTCCTTACGCCCCCTACATTTTAATACCAATACCAATAGTATAATTCTATCGTCGCACATCCCACGATGTCTACAATAATGTGCTTAAGCAGTGTCTTCCATTTTAACATGGGACTCGGCGTCAAAGACCCAACGTAAAACGGCGTGTAAAAGGACATAATCTCACTATAAACAATGAGCCGCTGTTGACTACGTCAACGTGCCTTTTGAGTTTAGATAAATGGGGCAACTTGAGAATATTGTAAATATAATGGAACACACTTAATCGATCCATACAATTTATACTTACTAATAGACTAAGTAGTCTCAATTGATCGCAATATTTCCAACACAGCCAGTTGGTGCATACGCAAAATTCTTAATAAATTTACGCAACATTTCAGGTGAACATGAAAAATTGGATTCGCCGTCATGTATGGAAAAACTGTATTTATTGCAATCAAATTTTTTCATTGTTCCTCGGACAATTATATCAGGAACAGTCTGATACATGTCCAGTGGCTCCACTTTGGCTCAATAATTTTGTGAACACCTTGCTTCTGTCAGCTTTATTGGTGCCTACCTATTTCACGCAAAATTTTCTTAACATAACTAATTCTTAAAAGCCAAGCATACAAAACGAAGTCATGGTTTCGTCTTGATCTCGAATGACCCGTAATCCAATAACACCTTTCTACGTTGGATAAATTACTGTGGCAAATACCTTCGTGCATTGTGTAGGCAAACGGTTTTCAGTGGCTTAAAAGAGATTTGCCTGCAATGTGCTATCGATTATTCAGACCTTACAAATCAGCGATGATTCATAGATGACTGCCACCTTTACTCGCCACCCTCTCGATTTATTGATGTTTTATTGTCGATTGTTGGCAAATCTGGCCACTCACCGTTACGCCACCTATAAACTACTATCGCCACCTATAATCATCGGTGCACCACCCATAATTTTTATTTGGGTCGTCGTGCTAAATTAATAATTTAACATCGGCCTCTAACCTCACAGGATTCACTTTTCCGACTCATGTTACTATGAATCAATGACCATTATTTTGCATATGAAAGACCTTGTCTTTTCATCAGTACGTAATTTAATTACATCGACAGGAAACATTTATCCCGGTGAGCTTAGGCACGCTCACTGAGGCACCCACGCTGCCGCCTAAAGCACCGTGGTGCACATGTACCTCCACTCGAAGTAAAAAAAAATCAGTCTCTGACTATTAACGCTCGTCATGTGTAGTCACACATGAATATTGTTACGTGTTATAAATACAACATCGCACAAGAAAAATAGATGCAAGTCTATTGAGCGTTTATTTAGCAAAATTATCAGTTAAATGGTCATTTGGAAATTAAATATTCGGGAATCGTTACTGATCTCCCATGACTCACAAGATACTCATGATATTGCGAACCAGATATATTATTACCTGTGGGTTAACAAACAATATTAATTAAATCTAATATGAATATTTCATTATTAGAATAACCAACTTGAGTCCAGCGACTCTTGAGGTGTCGCGACAGTTGATATATTGTTGCAGTTTCTTCACTTTATTATTTGCGCAAGGTTGCGATGTCCGAGATCACCGCAGGTTTTCTCTTGAACTTCTTCACGGGCGCGTATAATTATACGTCGGTCGTTACTCGTGCTGCTGATGTTGCTTTGCTCATTGATGAGATATTCTAGCTTTCATCAATGTTGTTCGACGCCTCTTCCATGTTTCTGGGATTTTAGCCGTCTCTGATGTCTCTTGAAAACAAACAGACAGTCGACGCTGCTGATGCATGAAGACGCCGCTACTGTTATATGAAGCCGCTGCTGCTTCTTCAAAGATGCAATGGACTTTAAGTCGCTGCTGCTGGTTCTTGAAGTCGCTGCTGCTGATGCTTTTTGTAGCTTTTCGTGATAATTTTTCTCTATTCATCCTCTCGCTTCCTGCACTGGAACATTGTAGTTCACTTGACTTCTATAGTCTGCGCTGGTGTATCTTCTAGTCTAGTAGATGATCTTCTTTCTTCCCTATCAGCTCTTGATACACTGTCTGAGGAAGACATTTTCACTGCACTTCACTTCAGTTCACTTCCCTGGCAATTTTAATTGTTATTACGCACTCGGGCGCCACTGTCAAAGTTATGAATAACTCTGTTCTGGGTCTGTCTCTTATACACATCTAGATGTGTATAAGAGACAGCTTCTTATTGCGATCGTCAGTTCGATCGTGAGTTTGATCGTGAATTCGATCAGACTATTGGCTGTTATTCACTTGCTGAGGCAAATGCTCTCATCAGTGTAATGTTATAGGTTAATGTGTTCGGAATTGAATTGACCATTAACTCAAGTATGCACGTAATCGTTATTTAAGGAAAAATATTCACTATTGAATTCTTATCCGGTCGTGCATTCAATTAGTAGCATTGTCAATTTAATATTGATCATAAAATGCTCTAGCTTGATTACTTTGAATTTATACAACACAATTTTTTATGCTCTACATGTTGTAATTTTGAGCAACGTGAAATTAAATTTATCACGATTATAAGTCATTTCAATAACAGTCTTACTGACATCTTATTTTCTGCATGCGTAATAGCGTGCAGTAGTCAAGCTATTATTTATTTCATCTCGTTATATTCGGTAAAAGAACTAACGTTTAACAGTATGAATCATGAAAACATCTTTGCACTCTATTGCATACAATGCAATCTTTTGAATACGTACAATATTATTTAACGGAATATTTGCTTTCAACGTGATAGTCTCGTTGTGATGATACAGAGATTTGATGCGCATTTACTCCTGTGAGGAAATTAATCGCAAGACACATTAATAAGTTTGCATTAATGGAATTAATATATATTAATTCTAATACATTGGATACAATAGTGTGACCACCTTCTCTCAGAACGGGTAACAAGTGTGCACAATTACAAGCGAGTAATGCAATGAGTTGCTTGTATCAACGCTTTGGTCTGCGGTTGCCTTGCACCTGTTGTTTACGCAACGAGGTAGCTAGCTGGGCGCACGAAACCTTCACCTCTGATCCCTCCGGGTACGCGTCTAGCACGCACATAGCTTGACGTACACATTGTTAAGTACCATTGGTACAGCAAGAGCTTATAAATCATGCTCTGATTTATATATTACCGTTAATCACGTGTTTATATGGACGTTTCATGAATTGAATACTGATTTTATATGATGCAATTTATATGATGACAGCGTTGATGAGATTTCGTTTGGACGTAAATCATCATTCGCTTTTGACATATCAACAATTGAACAGAGTAAATGAACATTCTCAAAGTTCATTAAAAGCTTCAGTGATTAGCAATGATGATCGTAATTAACTGAACAATTAGTTCAGGAGCGAACTTGATAACCTTGTATCTAAGTCGCATATACAGTATACGGTCTCGTCACACGATTCAGAGACTTGCATCGACGTTGTTATAAAAATTAGCCCGTTGTTTCCAACGTTTTTAGCCATGCTAAATTTTTAAATTAAACATCACAGTTTGTCTCTAAAAATTATCACATCATCATCATCAAAACAATTCAAATTAAGCTAGATAAATTGATATACGTATTTTACGTTATCACCATCAGTCAATTAATGTCAGTTGATGACTTTCTCAAGAACAAATTCTGACCGCCTGTCATGTTTTAAAACATAAACAGTGCTTACGTGCTACCATATGGTTTGAACGCATGTAAACATTTATGACGTCAGTGTTGACTGCTATATAGCATTATCTAATTTGAAAAGAGCGAGTATATATACAAATCCAAAAAAAAGGATTTCAACATCATTTCATATAACCGGATTATGATAATCTCTGGCAAGAACAGCTCATTATTCATTAGCATCAACGGCGTTAATGCCGTATTACTAGCAGAATTCGTCAATTCTGGCATTAAGGCTGTAACAGCATGAAGTTCATTAGTGAGAATTGGCTTAATAGTTTGAGGGACTCCCCAAATAAAAATTGAGAGTGGAGCACCTATGTTTTTATGGTGGCTATTGGCGGACCCCATAGGTGGAGCTTATATGATTTATACAGTGAATTACGGGTGGCGTGCACCACCTATCCCACACCTATAACCTGATAATGGCCACCACACCCGTAAAGCTCTTCGTACATCAATAACTACCCATTGGCACCGGTGGCGCATCAATGAGCCACCAGTGGCCACCTATAAAATGAATTCAGTAAAAAATTTTCCTTTAGTTTCAAATCCGATGCTTCTGCATTCACTGATATTGCATCACCCAATCACCATTTTAAGTGCTGCGTATGCAAATCTACCATGGCAGTACAAGTAACAATGTCAGACATGTAGCAGGAACATATAATCAGAGTACCATACACATACCTCGTGAGAAATCGACTTGAAGAAGTCCCTGCCTGCAGGATTCGAACTCCGGTCTCCCACACGCGAAGCAGAGCCTCTACCGTTGCGCCATCGGAGAGGCCTTGGCAGTCGAGTAATTTTAAAAGATTTAACTGAAGTATTGCAAATATTAATTTCATCAAATGAGCAAAGTTAATGCTACCACCGTGATGATTAGATGGCTTCATCACCAATTTCATTTGAACATGCTACTACATTCGAGTAAACACCCGCTGAAAGAAACTTCATTTATCCGTAACGAACGATGGTTCAGCTCAGAGTAAAGGCTACGGGAAAATGCTTAATAAGTATCGAAGTTCATAATGTCAACATTACACCAATTTTGACAGCGGCTTAATTCGATATATTTTCACCAAGAATATTCTGACGTGAAGTAAGGAATTGATATTACACGATTATTTGAAATATCAGACGTGAACTACCTGCACCACTTCTAGTCACAATTTTTTTATAGCTTAATCTTTAGTCTAAAGAATTTTAGTCTTTAATCTAAAGAATTATCTGACTGTATATTAAATTTTACAATCGAAGTCAGGATGGATAACCGAGTTTTTACTCGTATCCTCTGCATAAAAAGGATACTTTTGTGACAAGCAAGTTACGCGGAAAGCACGTTCCAAGCAGGACTAGGTAAAGATTAGTTGGAAGCTCAACGTCGACGCGCGTCAAGCCAACCGGTATGAACGTGTGCTTACTCACACGTCGCTCTCTCGCTCTCTGCCCATGATGCCGAGCCGCTGTGCTTTACAGCAGCTGAAGGCTGTCTGCCTAAGACTGAGACTCTGCTGGGACTGACTGGCAGTCGGCTCACCGAGCTTATATACGCGGTGACCCACGTATAGTGACGTCACAGAAGGTGACGTAATAGTCGCTGATGACATCACGGCCTGACAACTGGACAGCGCAATAACAATTTCTTTCATAACGCATTAACGGGGAAAACAGGGTAGGAAGAGCGTCAAGAACTTAGAAGGAAAATATACTTTGTAAATTCATATTCTGAGATAATAATTTTCAAAATTAAGTTGGATAGGAGTCAATAAATTTAAAAACTTAATCTGGCAGCGTCAAATCAATAAAAAAAATTTACAGAATAATTTCAAAAATATAAATAAATAATATTTGCGCCGATTTATGAACACTATAATAATAATAGATATTAATAATTAATAAATATTAAAACCACTTCCAGAGGATAGGTGGAAATTATTTCAAGAATTTAGAACGAGTCTTAAAGGTCTGTAAATTATTTTGAATCCAAATTTACAAATACTTTCATCACAAGTAGTAGCAGCGCCGTATCCTGCTTACCGCGGGTCTGAAGTTATCACTGTTCATTCAAAACTCCCCGGAATTCATAACTACACAGTCATGTATAAATTCAAGTGAATGATTGCAAGCGTGCAACAAAGAGGATTTCTTCGAGAATTGTTTGCTATAGCTGGTAGATTATTTTAAAGATATTACCTATATTTTTCGCTAATTTTCTACTATTTATACCAAAAAAAGGAAGTTACTCTTTTATATGATTGAAGATGAAACTTACTTCTGACCGATAAGAACATTTTTTCCATCGCTCTAATTCATCTAAGAATTGTTCTTTGAGTCTTAAGATACAAAATAAAAATAAATTGAAATTTTGTAGTCGCACAATAATTGCTGGCGTCTCGTATAGCGTGGGGCAAATTAATGTCTGCCAGACGTGCGCCGCACTTGAATAAATCGTACGTACTACTGACTTTAGTTTATATGTTTAATCCCTTAAAAAAGGCTTGATAGCTACGCCTCTTAATACTTTTTTCGATTCTAGTTGCTCTTTCAAAATGCTAAAGCGAATAGACTTACATTACAAAAGTAAATTAAGTAAAATTTACCATTTGAGCACACTGCACATTCTCATGTTGTCATACTGAGTAGACAATAATAAGTCTGATGCGCCATCTGTTAGCCAAATAATATCTCACGATCCCTGGTTCCATTCGTATACACAAAAATCAAAATTGTATGAAATATTCAAAAAGAATATTACTAGTCCTAGTTAATTAACTAGAACAGTCCTAGTGTCTTACTTCACCACTCTTCCCTTCAGTAGCATTAATCACGTCACCTTCAGTGACGTCATTGAAGCAAGTCTATATAACCTCCTCAAGCATCTATCTATCCTATTAGTCAGTCGCAGACCAAACTCTGCTTGCAGCGTCGGAGCCCAGCTCCTACACGCATCTGCTTCCGACGGCTCCGACACTCCCTTGTCCACTTGCGATAGTGTTGATATAGTTACCTTGCTATTCCTGTAATTATACCTCTCCATGCCTATCTTCGTGTGGACTTCTTGGAAAGTTGAATTCTTAAGGGAATACCTATGAAATTAAAGTTCACACTTGGACGTCAGAAGACGAAGGTCGCCAAATGTGTTGTGTTTCTGCTCCGAGATTTTGCTGTAAGGGACGTTAGTTTGCTGCACGACACGCGTTGTTTTGTGACTATAATGTTTGGAAAATTATTACAGCTGTGGATCTTTAAAGCTCCTCACTAGCTGTATACGTTACAGGCTCCTTAGGTAAATGAAACGCAACCTTAAATTAGTTTGTAAGGTTCGCAGACTAAACTTCAGAAAGGCTATGTAAAGATGTTTGGAGTGTGATGCTTGATTCATCATGAGACTTGGAAATTTCGATCGATCGATTAGACTTTATCGATTGAAAGATCGATTAAACTAGAAAATTGCGAGCATTCTACGTTTCGCTGTCTGTGAACGTTTTGGTCCGTAAAAACGTATTTCTTAGCTGATGGTCTTCAGCTGTTAGTTGAACAGTTCTGGGTTCCTGCACCTTCCAACTTCAGAACAAATTCACTGCTGCCGATGAAGCTTTTCTCAAGATGTAACACGACATAGTATCGCGTTATCCCTCCTTGTTAGGGCTTCTACAGATCTTTAAAATTCGAATGGATCAGTCGCTTGGCTGCTAACAGCTTTCCATTTTACTCCCCAAGAGTAGACGGGATGAGAATCACGAAATCCCTCCAATATGTGATACCTGCCACAAGTATTTTTATCTTTACAGCTCCTGAAGAGTCTCCAACGCTTTTTTTCTTGCCTCCGTCAATGAGATAAGAGAGCAATTCGGAAGTAGCGCCTGTTTCAAGTCTCGGAATACCATCCTTAATTTTGTGTATTGTAGGCAAGACTATCTTTGATAAAATGGTCATTGGGTGAACAGTACGCTTCTACCGAAGAACAATTTCAATCCGCCTACGTTTTCCTGACGAGTATTCATTCCGCAGCACCACTGAACTAGTGCACTAATTGTAATCGCAAGGCGATGATAAAGACCACACGTACATAGTAAAAATCTGCTCTAGGTGGAGAATAAGTGCTCGATCTCTCGTTCTGTTGGGATTGGGTTTATATTTCAATACGTCACAAGTTTAGTATCTGACGAATTCCCTAATTGAAATATTCTAGTAATATCTTAAGATGTTCAGCTAGCGATTAAGTTATTTTGATGATAGCTCGTGATAGTGTATATGTATTATACCAAGAGATGTGTTCCAGGCAGATCTCTGCACCGAACAGTGATGTACAATTTGTACACCTATAAATAGTTGGCAAGGTTCAAAATATGTAAATTTAGAAGAGAACAATCTCGTTGTTTGGATCCACCGCCGTGAGATCTCTCAAGATGAGGGTCATTGTCACTCCGGTTTGGAACGCATTGTACTGTAGTCTTCGTCGCCATGTCGTAGAGCCATCTTTCACATGCCTGTGGACTTTTTGCACTGTCTCTTCGTTTAGTACTTACCCGTTTCGTAGAGAAAAATATCTCCTAGTATGCGAACGGAAACTTCTTCACAGCTTGAACTTACGTTCACCGACGGCAGCAAATAATTCTGAGCTATTGTTGAAATGTGCTTACCACCCCCCCCTGATCAACTGTTCATCATTGAAGAAGATAACGCGACCCAAATGTCGGCTTCTTCATCACGCACCTCTGCCGCGCGTTAATTAACCAGTCGTCCAGCTGGCTCGTATTTAAACTTCACAAGAAATTGTCTATTGAACGAAAACACGAAGGGCCAAGAAAAACAAATAAGTCGAAATAATCGAAAATGCAACAAATTTATTTAATAAGGAACAAAAAACTGGCACAAAAATATTGAAGCTTGGAGATGGATTTTGGCCAATTAGGATCGGATATTCGATCTCGCCTGTCTCGCGGTGAGCCCCGTGGTTTGTTTCAGCTGACAATTATCTTTATTGCTGGGATAACGTGTAGAGTTCTCCGACAACTAATTCCTCGTGATAGATCATGCTAACCTTCTTTCCCCCCTGCAAGAAAAGAGTGCAAGCAAACACGGTTTTAAGTATTGCTACCTACCCGAATCGAGATTTGATATCCTTCAATATTTTTATGTGATCTGGAGGACTAATGAGAACTAGTAATCCAGTCGTTCTAATGAAGAGAAAACGCAAGGAAGAGGGAAAGATTATTAATACTTCGTAAGAACTTCCATTACTGAAATATTCAATAAATTCAAGTAAACTTGTCGATAAAAACGTGAGCATCCAGTTCATGAACATACGATACTTCTTTTGTCTGGTATATTATCAGAATTCCATAGATTTGCTCAGGGGAGCAATAGCTCTTCGATAGTAATTGTACTACGCAAATGCTAATTTCTTCCTACATTTCAATTTAGCCAATGACGTAGCAACATCGATCTGGCTTGTCACAGGGCGAACCATGTGCGCACCGACAGATCAATTTATACCTCGCTGTTTGGTGTGTAGAAAACTTTGCCGCAAACGAAAATTTAAGGGGAGCGTCTGCCCCAAAATAAAAAAATTTGACTTTTTGGTGTTTATGCTCATTTTAATTAAAGCTTACATTCTGATGCATCTAACGGTACCAAAACCATCTCTGTACGTTGACTTATGCATCATGACAGATCGCGAAAGGGATAGGGGTAATGAAATTCTTTAACATTCAAGATAGGCCGAAATTACCGGTTGAACACTTAAAAAGCTAGTCTGAACACGCTGTGCTCCAGTTATCCGCCTGCAGTCGTGCGGGATGGTTCTCGTGCCGTCGTTCGCACCATCCTTGACAGAAATTGAGCTCCAGTATCGTCCAGTCTTGCAACCTAGCATCCTTGAATGTCTATTTAGAGGGGCGTGCGACTTTGTGGGGCTCTAATGAAAAGTTAACCTATTGTCACTGCAAACCTATCTCCTCCTAGAGTTTTGAAGCTACATCAATGAGTGATATACCGTCCAAATCACAAATAAAAGATCTACAAATGATGCAGAAGATTTTTCTAATTTCGTTATAGTTTGGATTTTATTCTGCAAAAAGGGAGGGGTGACTGGAGTGAAACGAAAAAATTTCCGAAAAATTCATGAAAAATGCTCCCATACCTACAAAAATTAGAATTTCAAAAAACCGTCTGCATCAGTTTTAGATATGGTCTTTACGCATCGAATGATATGCGTTTCAATGTTGTAGCTTAAAAATTCTAGGAGGAGAGAGATTTCTACCGTATCCACTTTTTTGTCCGTTTTATAAGAATTTCACGTTTTCCTTCATTTTTTTCGAAAAATTTACACAAACAAAAAAGTCTTAGAATTTCGTTTTACATATGTGTACCGAAGTTTGAATTGATCCGTGGATAAATAACCGAGATCAAATTTGGAGCAGACGCTCCCCTTAAACATGGACTTTGCTTTTCACCGCGGCGTTCAGCCGGTCATTGCAGGGGTAACGTAGTTTTCGACGGTGAGCAAGCAGAGTGTATTTTAACAACTCCTTTTATTCGGTTGCTTACAGGGTTTTCACAAAATGCTCACCTCTCCAATTAATTTTTGGACGCCTCGGGATTATGGGATTTATCCGCTGCAATCACACAAAGCAGTATCATCTGCAATTGACGACCTTTTAGTAACTGCGCCGGGTTGTGACTGCAGGGGCCGGATTATCAAAACATGCTAAGTATACGTAGCCGCTAACGTTTAGCGTAAGTACAGCTAAGTAGACGTGACTCGACTGAGTGTTATTATCGAAACATTTGCGCGGGAAGCTACGTACAAAAATTTGTGCATAACTGTACGCCTGCTCGGAGGTGTCGTAAGCGGAGTTACGTACAAATTTTGAGTGTTAAAGCAATATGAGACTATTAATTTACTAGCAGCAAGTTGAATTGTAATAGAATTTTGTCAATAATGAGACTAGGTATAATATGGGATCGTGCTAGTGCTTTTAGGAAAAAATATTCGATTGAGTTTATACCAGAAGCTAATTTGTTTTCCTCTTGTGTTTCAATTTACAAGCAAATGTTGATATTCATGTTCAAGAGTTTTATGCCTTTTGATTCAAAATATCTTCATGCCTTTTTGATTCAAAATTATGTGGAGGTTGACAAGCCAACCATTTTTTAGCTCCGTACACATTTCTTTTTTTCTCTGACAGTCACAACTCCAACTCATAAAATTTTCTAAATTCTAGGTCTCTCTAAAAAGTCTTCTAGTTTTGAATGGGAATAGTGCAATTTTTTTGCCCTGATTGCAAGAAATTTTGATGAATGATCACAAAAACAAGTGCATTGCTATTTGGATAACGTCACACTTATTTCTCCATATGCACACTAATCAGTCTACGCTGATGCCGCTGACACGACACAACCTCCTTCCGTTCACGCGCTCTGCGCACTGAGTCGACAGGAGCTAGGAACAGCAAATCCAAAGCCTCTGATTGGTCAGTTAGTTGGATGGTTTCGATAATGCCTTTTCAGATGAGTCATGCGTAAGACAGTTTTGTTAATGCCAAATTTTGACTGACTTACGCCATACGTAACTTTTTGACCGTAAGTACGAAAAGTTACGTAAACTTAGCGAAGTTTCGTTAATCTCTGCCCAGGTCAACATCCTTTACAGTCCAGGGGCCGTATTATCAAAATTTCGTAAGTGCGCAAAATCGACTTATGAGAGGCGTAAGTACTGACTTGATGACGAAACTCTAGAGGTGGTATTATCAAAACATATGCGCGGGAAGATACGTAACGTAACTGTACGCTTGCTCGGAGATGTCGTAAGTGGAGTTCCGCACAAGTTTATAGTGTCTGCTGAAGCGATAGGAAACTATTGATTTACTAGCAAGTAGCAACACCTTGATTTGTGATAGAATTTTGTCATTAATCCGACAACGCGGATTATACACGCATAGAATGATGGCTCTACTTGTGATGGCTCCACTACTTGATCGTGCAACATTTGCACGATCAAAATATGTGATCGTGCTAAACAGTGTTATTGGAAAAAAATTCAATTCATTTTTTCAAAAATTTTTTTCATTCATTTTCAAAAATTCAATTCATTCATTCCTTCTAGTCGGTACTTTATATCTTTGCCAACCATAATTTTCAGCTCCGTACACAGATTTCTTCTTCAACTCACGCTGTTAATTAAAAAGAGTTCACAACTATTTTAGAACGGCTTTTTCTGGGCCAACAAGGAGCAATACCGACAGACAGCATTCGATAGTCGATACCATCGAAGGCATCGATTCCCGCCATCGAAGTTCACAGAATGTAAACAAATCCCAAGCCTCTGATTGGTCAGTTGGCCAGATGGTTTTGATAGTAAGGTTTTAGCTATAAGTCTTACGTACGAATGTTTTGATAATGCCAGAATTAGGGTATACTTACGTAAGACGTAACTTTTTTGTCGGAAGTACGAAAAGTTACGAAGTTTTGATAATACGGCCCCAGAGGTCATCATCCTTAGCAGTTGGGTGACCACATCCTTCACATGCGTTTGAAGGTTTGTCAAGTTCATGTTTGCAGCCTCAGTTGTGCGCTAGTCATAATTACGGTCACTTCTGATCTACCTATAAATTTCGAAGTATTTGGTGCTAAATTCTCTGCATAAAATCTGCACGACGATCGGCTATTTTTCATCAGTTTTCTCCATGTTGAGCGTGTAAATTCATTACTATTTGACACAGTCCGTGGTAAAGGTCATTGCAACTGACGAAGGGAGAAAACGGAAAACTTGTCATTTTATCTCAAATCGATTTGTATTTTAAAAGCGTTGATCGAAGATAGTTGAACGAGATACACGTTCTATTGTTTATCATCGCGAGATTTCTTCAATTTTTATCGAATGAGGCTGATGAATAGCTGATTATCAATCAAGCATTCATGTACTCCTTTTGTAGTGATCAACAGTTTGCAAGAGCCTTGGTGTAGCCGGAGAACTACCCTGCGTGCAATAAAGTTACAGGGTATCTGCAAGCGGGCCCTAGCCGTTTACGTACGAGGATGAATCAAAATGGATCAACGGATCTTCAAAGGCCACACGGTATATTTAAATTTCATGGAAAATCCGCAGCCACAAAATAGCGCTATAAACTAAATGCGTATAGATTTACAAGTACAGACAATATATGGACATTAAATAAAGGTATTTGTAGACGTTACAAAGTGATGCAGGTATGGCAAAGGTAGGCTGCCTACTCGCAATGAGCTCAGCTGCTTCCCAAGAAAACTACCTACGCTTACTTTTTCTCTCGAGTCTTCGTTAGAGAAGTGCGGCGGCTGAAGACGTCGCACCCCCTCCAAAAATAATTATTTAACACAAAAATATACAGCTGACAATAGTCGCAAAACAATATCTCAACACAAGAATGATCAATACCAGAACAAAGAGCTAGTTATGAGCAGGGTAATACTTGCCACCGAAGTTGAGTTAGAAAATTAAATTTTTTCCCAGAAATAACAAGGTCTACAATTCATTCAGACAATATATAAATGCATCTTCTTACATTTTTCCAGTTGAATTCATTGCGTAAACAGTTCATTTCTTCTAAGACAGTACACACATCGTCCTTAAATTTATGGTGAAATGAACTAAACAATTTGTCACGAAGTCGGTTGCTACTACGTGCAGATTTTCCAGGATAATCTCGTCGGAAGGCCTCTTCAAGACAGTGTCGCATATCCATCCAGCGTTTCCTGACGGCCCATCTTCATATTCGTGAACGATGTGTTCCTCGATGAATACCCACTCCGACGTCGCACTATTCTCCCGCTGCAGTCTGACTCCGAGCTGAAAAATTCACTTTCAGAGCTTGACACGCTACTCTTCTCTGCGTAAAAAGGTGAATTTTGTCAAATAGCAAATGACAGGGCGTCTCGTATACAGAACCAGGAGATGCCTCTTCTTCCGCAGTTCGGGCCTCAATCGTCTCCACGACTACCACAGAGGCAGCCTCGCAGCTAGAAGCGGAATCAGAACGACGCTCTGCAATAGGAAGGTCTCCCTCTGGGCACAACGCCATGGTCCGTCGACATAATTCATCGGTTCTCCGCACAGCACAGCTGCAAGAGCAGGGCCTTCTCCTCGTCATTTGAACTGTTACGCTGAACGTCAGACTTCGAGTGATCTGGCCAATCAGACGAAAACAACAGTCCAGAAGCGGGAACCGGTGTGGCGTCTCTGGAGCTGCTGGAAACATTAAATTTGGCTGGGTCCATCCGTAAGGTCATTGGTGTTGTCGCCGAGAGGAAGTCAGTTCAGCAAAGATAGTCAAGTCAAATCGAAGTGTGGGAATCTAGCGGAAGAGCGCAGTGCTTGCCGAGATTACAACGGGGCTCTTGTCCAACGTTGCCAACAAGTTGCAGCTTCCTTCTACGCTGTTCGACGAGTGCATGGGAGAGAAATGTTCAAATCATCGACCAAGTGCTGGCGACGTACAGTGCCGGAAGCGTTACCGTCTTGAGACTGGCACTTTAGCTCCGGTTGCCTGCAGCCGCACCCGTCCATGGCCGACGAATAAAGTAACCAAAATACAAGAACTTGGTTTTGAATGAATGGTTGACAGCAGCATCGGACTGGATCTGAGAAACTTCCTTGCCGACCAATTACTGCGTCCTGCCACGCCCGTCCAGGCAGGCGGCTCATTCGAGAGTGAGCCAACTCCGTCTCATGTCCAATTTCAGCTCCGAGCAATGCGTCGGAAAGAAAGAAGAGCGCGAACGACAGAAAGTCGGACCGCTACATTAGGATCAGGATTACAGCTCCTTAATTCATCACTAGTTTTTTGTTCGAAATACAGATTCATAC